AGACGCGCCTGGTGAAGACCATCATCCTGCACCCTCGCTACAGTCGAGCAGTGGTGGACTATGACATCAGCATAGTGGAGCTAAGTGAAGACATCAACGAAACCAGCTATGTGCGGCCAGTCTGCTTGCCCAGCCCAGAGCAGTCGTTAGAACCCGACACCTACTGCTATATCACAGGCTGGGGGCACATGGGCAACAAAAGTAAGCCAGGGTCGTCTGCAGCTCTTGCCTTTCAGCTTGTAACTAAAATACATGGGGTTGCTTCCTGCCTTTCGCAATAATTTCCCATTTTCACTTCTGAAAGATTAGCCACAAATGGTAACTACTAGGCATGGGTGTCACATTTTCCCTTCCATGCAAATAGTCGATGTCAGTTCTTCATCCTGGCACTTGCACCTGCCAAACTCAGATGCAACCTCAAAAACTCTTCTCTGCACCTCAGATTCTTCCTCCAGGGAGCCACTGCCCATGCTTTGGAGTTGCCATGCAGAATGAGACCTATCAGTCATCCCTGCTTGGACTGTCTCCATCGATGTTTGCAGGCCAAGTCACTCAGAGCTTCTATCTAGTGGTTAGGCAGTTCTGCTCCTGCAGTCAGGCTGCACAATCACAATTCCAATTCTATGTTATGATTTGGTCTTGTCAACATCTGTAACCAGCCTGTAAGTTCTTCTAGTAGAAAGAAGACCAATTTGCTATTTGCCTATTTAAAGTGATTAAAATAGTTTAAGTTAAACATACAAAACATTAAAAAAATGTATACTTAGTCCTAGCCCGCATAACGGACTCTCTTGTTTTGCTTGACCTGTTTAAAGTTTAGAGTAGGAATTTAATGAATGAGACATTTTCTTTAACGGTAAGTGCTGGCCACTCTGGCTCTACCAACGGCACTGCCATGGCTCTCAGGAATGGTGATGTATATTGGTGTCCTGTTATCCACCTTAACAACTGCCAATGTGAAAAACAGGGTTTTTTTTTGCATTTTAGTCAGATAAGTTTTGAGCTAAGTTGAGTTTCTTTTTTTATATGATCAATTGAGGACAGAAAGGAAAATTCAATAGACAGAAGTCAGTTAAAGACTTCTGAAAAGCTTACACAAAAGAACTTCAATGGCAATGTCAGACACATGATATCACCATTCCAGTGCATGTTGGTTTTTAAAAATTATCATTAGACTGTGATATGAGATAAGAGCAGAATCTGCTTTCTATTGCCTCTACGTGTGTTGTTCCCACAATATCCGCATCAAACTTAGAGCAATCATGTAACATATCACACATACCACATATGTAGTATTNTTTTTAAAAAAGAAAAAGAAAAAAACACTATATCACTCATTTATTTGATTTATTTTTTGATAATTTTACTTTATTTAAAAGTAGCATTAAATAATAACAAAAAACTCACAGTTCTATCACCTAATTAAGTTGATTACTTTCATTTGACCAGGTTAATTTCTAAGAAAAAAAGTGCAATTTCATTTTTTTTTGGCCTATTTGCCTATTATTAGTTTTTCTCTACTTTGCTATGTACAGTGTTACCATGGGTCAATTTGTCAACTTCTCTGGGCCACAGTTTCCTCATCTGTGAAATGAAGGAGATAACTGTCCCTACCTCACAGGGTTGATGTGCGCATTTAGTGAGATAGTCTGCGTAAAGCTTTGAGAACTGTGCCTGATATCAGTAAGTCAGAACTTGATAAAGGTCAATTTTTCACTTGTGATAAGTGATTATAAAATGGAAATGTGTATATCCAGTTATTTTATTGTTCTTTTGGGTAAAATAAAATATAAAAAAATCAAACCAGTACCTCCTCTTGAGGACATTTAATGTGTAAGACCCAAAATGATTTGAAGAGTCTGTGTAGTATCAGAAAATACACTGCAATGTTATTGTTTCAGAAGGAGCCAGATGTTTCCAGATGTCTTTTCCAGTTCTTATTTATAATTCCATGAGAATCAGAAGATTGTACTAGCAAGAGTACATTCATCAAAAGATTATTACCTAAATGAATCCAACAGTTCTTTAAGGGAACAATATTCTTTACATGCTAGCTAATCCAGATTCATACGCCACTTTTGTCATTTCCATATGTGTTATCCAAGTTTCCTCTTTCACTGACAATTCTGTGAAGTTAAGAAGAAACCTTGAAATAGAGAAGAAATACGTGTTTATAATTAAGGAAATGGATATGATATCAAAGGCCCTGGTGAAATTTTATGGAACACTAGACTTAACAGAACTGTCAAAGAGGGGACTGGCCTATCCATAAGAAACTAGAAATTGCCCAACTTCAAACAAGCTTTCATTTGAATGTGTGCTAATAACTCTGATCCTATTTTACAATCTCTCCAGTGGCCCTGCAAGCTTTTGAGAACTTTTAATTATAAGCCTTACTCTGCTGGAGCCATCAATTGCTATAATTAATGGGATTTACTTCATATCCTGATCCCATATCTTGGCAAAGCCCATTGTGACCCACCTGTAGGTCTTCTCAAGCCTGTCTCTTCTAATTATATTGGTGGTAAAAGACAAATTTGTTTTGCTCTTCCACTGGAGAGTTATTTAAAAATCCCCAGTGAAAATTAAAAACATGAGATACTAAGCTGATCAGATGAAGTCCCATATGTCCTAATAACAATTCAGCTCTAGTTCTAAAGAAGAAAGGCCTTGACTTTCAGGGGTAATTTAACAAGCAATTTTTCTGCTTTCTTCCACCTCTGACAGACTTAAGGATGAACTTCCTAGGTTGGCACAAAATTAGTGATTGTCAGAAGCATCTAATTCCTCTCCAGGAAACCTGCATGAAAAACTATCATCCTGCTATATGACCATAATCCCTGTCCCTGCCAGGTCACCCTAGTCTTGACTTCTATCAGATCAGCTCTTTATTCTATCAAGACTTTGATTGCTTGTCTGCACTTCTCCACCCATTATCTCAGTTCATAAGTCTCCTTGCTTTCACTAGCTAATCTAGTGCCCTAGGCTTGTCACTTTAGTCCTCTCACCAGGACCTTCAACTTCTTTGTCCCTAGATCTTTCCACCATACCATCAGACAGACCTCCAACAAAGAGTCAATGTGAATACCACATTTTGTAATAGCATATTTATGCTCTTCAGAACTGAGGGAGAACATTACCCAAAAANTTCTAAGCACATCACAGTATTTTTGACAGTCCCAAAGTGTTTATTTCTTTTAAATATTTACACTGTGAATAAATGCTCATGGTTGGAAGAGAACTTTGTGACCAGAACTAAACATACCCTAAATTAAATTCTGTTGTTCAGCTACATTGATAGATGCTTAAACATGGCCCATGTTCTTGCCTTTAAAGGTTAATCCTATTTTTAGAAAGTTCTTCATTTCCTGAATCCACACCTCCTTTAAATTCTACCTACTGGTTTCTGATCCTGCTATCTAGAATTACATGAAATGAATTTAATCCTCCCTTCTTTCTGTCAGCCAGTCATAGGTCCACAGTTAATATCAAAAGTCTCCGCAAGGTTCTTCAGTGTAAATATTCAGTTCCTTTATGCATTCTAACTTTTTAAAGTGGTATTTTATTTCTCTCAAACTATTTCTCAACTTTTTTTGTACATTCGCATCCTTTCCATGAGCACTGAAATCTGACATGGTCCCTCCTCACCATGGATTCTAAGAAGCATCCCAGTTCCCTTCCCTTTCTTATCCCTACTTTGAAAATCATGGCTGAGTTAATATTTCCGGTGATGCCACCAGCCAAGATGATGTGGGAAACTTTGCTAGCAATAGTTTCTCTTCCCACAAATGTAAAATTATATTGTGATGATATTAAATAAACTAAAGAAGGCACACATCTGCCGTATATCCCCACCCCTGAGGTGATACTTGACAACAACTCTGCCTTGAGAATTCCCAATTTTCAGTAAAATCAGTACTCAAAGAATGTGACTTTAGGTGAGAATTGAAGCTATACCATGCTTTTCACTGGTAGTATCTGAAGTGAACAAAAAATATGTAACTTAATATTGTACCATTTTATGTTTCCAAATCTAGGCAGTCTTGTCGCAGCAGAAGTAAGGTTTCTCTTCTATGTACTAAACAAGGTAAGAAGATGAGTGGTGTAGTAATGGGATATGGAATTCACTTAACTGAATTAGTTCAGGGGGAAATGACCACTTGCATGTGACACCAGAGCCAAGCATCTGGTGGGTTTGGGTGGTGTCACACACTGTCTTTCCTGCTCCTTTGTAGACTGTGGGCGCCGCCCTGCTGCCCGAATGAATAAGAGGATCCTTGGGGGTCGGACAAGTCGCCCTGGAAGGTGGCCCTGGCAGTGTTCCCTGCAGAGTGAGCCCAGTGGGCACATCTGTGGCTGTGTCCTCATTGCCAAGAAGTGGGTTCTGACAGTCGCCCACTGCCTTGAGGGGTGAGCTGCACCTTTTCTTTTGGGCTTTGCCTGGATTTGATAATTTTGTCACTTGGGCATTCTTAGG